CCCCAGCGCCCCCGCCGGGCTGGCTGGATACTCACGCGTCAGCCGGAGAAGCTGCTGGCTCCCCGGCTTGATCCCGCCTGGCTCTTTTGGGTCCCGGGGCTTCCCCTGCGTCCTGGGAGGGGGGCAGATGGGGGCGGGGGAGAGAGGGAGGGTTAGTTGTGTGGGTCCTTGGCGGTAATTCCTAGATCCCATCTGGAGGGGGGACACTTTGGTGTCCCTGCCCCAGGTCACAGCCCACCCCACATTTAGGGGTTGTCATGGAAACCCCTGGGGGGAGATGGGAAAGCTGGGATGGGGGCAAGGGAGAGGCCTGGTAGAGCACCGCCTCCTTTAGAGAAAGCCACGCCCCTCCCTTCCCCACCTGCATGGCCACACCCCTCCCTCAGAGACACGCCCCCTTTCTTCCATAACCACGCCCTTTCCCATCCGACACACCCCTCAGCCCACAACAGCATCCCCACCCCGCCCACCACACAGCCACACCCCCTCCCCACGTGACACGGCCCTTCCTTCCATAACCACGCCCCTTCCCATCCATCACACCCCCTCAGGCCACACCACCACCCAGCCCTCCCTAAGAGACACGCTCCTTCGCCGTAGCCACTCCCCCTTTCCATCAGCCACACCCCTCCCCAGGCCACGCCCCTCCGCCACAGCTACATCCCCTCCCCGCAGCCACGCCCCTTCCCCTCAGCAATGTGCCACGCCCCCTCCTTCAGCCACGCCCCCACCACACAGCCACACCCCCTTCCCCCAGCCACTCCCCCTCCCTCAGCCACGCGCCCTCCCACATAGCCACGCCCTTCCCCGTCAGGAACGTGACACACCCCTCCCTCAGCCATGCCCCTTTACCAGCCACTCCCCCTCCCTTAGCCACGCCCCTTCTCCTCAGCAATGTGCCTCTCCCCCTGCCCTCAGCCACGCCCCCTCCCCCACACTCACTCCTCGATGCGGTCAGGGGCTCCCCAGCTGCGGCTGGGGTCCAGGTCACCGTGCCCCACGTGCTGGAAGCTGTTGCGGACGGGGAGGCTGATCCGGGGCACCCCAGCAGTGGGCGATTCCTCCGGGCTCACCACCGACGCCGGGAAGATCCCGACCCGCAGAGTCCGCCTGTTCTGGCCCCGCCAGGTCGAGGACTCGGGGCTGCAGGGGGCAAGAAGTGGTGTGAACCCAGGAGTCCTGGCTCCCAGCCCCCCTGCTCTATAACCCATCAGCCCCCACTCCCCTCCCAGAGCCAGGGAGAGAACCCAAGAGTCCTGA